GAACGCGGTCAGAGCCGAGCAGGCCGAGGGGCGTTCAGAAGCGCCACCACCCCGGCCCGCAGGCGTTTATGGTAACAACACACAGGACACCGGAAGGGTACCGACGCTCGGCACCTCCACACGCGGATGATGTTTACGCACCGCAGGGATCGGCCCGAGTCTTATTTTCCAAAACACATTCGCTGCTGTCCTTGCCCATTACGGTCCAGTCCCTGACAGCCTCATTACTGTCCCCATCGTCCTCCTGCCGTTGCCATCGGAAACCTCCAGGCTGAAATGATGAAGCTAGCCCAATTCGGTGCTCGGCCACCAGCCTGAACGCTGCTGACATTCAATGAGAGTCGAAGGCCCAGACAGGCTGATGACCGAGCTCATGCTTCAGTCAGGACAAACGACGGGACGTTTTGCACAAATATGGCTGTGTGCAAAACACAGCTTCCCTCCCAGTGATATTTCTACAGACTGGCATTTTAGCATAGACACAACTAGGGAAAAAAATGAACGCTGCCTTTTCTTACAAAGAGTGCGCTTTTAAGAATACCTGCAATTTATTGTAAACATTCATTAACAACCCTAGGCATGTTAGACACAAGCAACATTCAAGATTTTGCAAAGTTTGGCGCTACACCAGCTGCTTCAGCTTCCGCAGCAGAGCATTACAACAGATGAAGCCCATATGTACTAAACCATACACATTTCAAAAACAGTCTTTTTGGGGGGTTGGTATTTATTTAACAGAGAAAAACAAGCAAAAGTATCTCAACTGTATGTCAATTTCAATGTGCCAACAGCATTAGGACAAATATCAGTATTAAAATAATGACATTCTGAAAATTTTCAAATATACCAGGTACTGTGATGCATAAAAACAGGAGTGCCTTTTGGAGTATTACTCATAGTAGCAAGCCATTACCAAAGCCAGGGCAATAAATGTTTGAGTCTCAATCTTAGCTGAAACCCAAGTGTCTCTTTGATCATCCCAGAGACATCTGCTGGCAACCTAAAGGAAAGAAAAGAAAAAGCTATCTGTGAATTTATCAACAGCAGTTTTTACACTTTTAAAAGAACAACACCACATTACATAAATACTGATATAATTGCAGTTCGAGAGTTACAAGTAGTAACAACAGCCACAAAATTACAGTGAAAATAAGTCCCACTCAATGTTAGCATACATGTTTCTGCTTCACAGTAAAGCTCCGACCCCAACAGATCCAAAAATGTCTACATCAAAAACTCAATTCTCTCATGTTCACTTGTTAGCACTTTAGCATATGGTAACGTACCCCTTCAAAAGCAACGTGAACGGACATTAATTTTGGGAAAATACACAACTAATGTCATATCCCCCACTCGTCCACCTCAGTCTAATTTGTGACCATTTACTGGACTCCCAACTTTTTTGATAAAGCTGTTTTCAAAGCTAGAATATGTGAACTGACTGCTGGAATATGCATATTCCTCAGAAGGAAAAATCAGCTTGGACCATTTCAGTAATCCATTTTAAGCTACAGCTCCTCAAAGTACAACTTCAGAAGCAGCATACTGTGAGATGGCACCAGAAAAGGAGGTAGACTTAGCCCCCCCACAGACTGGCTTCAAGACTGAAGCTGGCAACCTTCAAACATTGTTTCACATAATCCCCCAAAACCAGGCATGTTTTCACCAGGTTCTAAGAGCTGATGATGAGTGCTCCTAAATAGAAGCGCTCTGACACTCAGCAAGATACCTAAAAGCATTCTGAGTGCCAGCGGGAGTTTACAACACATGTAAACTCATACACAACACAGGAAAGTCCAGAATACTTTTCTTGTGGGTGTGGCAAATTCAGATCATTAATGATAATTTGTAGTCCCAGGAGCATCTCTTTGGTGGCAGCTACAGCTGAAACAGTTTCCATCCCTTTCCTTGCCCCTGTTCCTTTCGAGTCACCCCATAGTAATTTATAGTGTTCGGAAGAATCATAACCATATCTTAAAAATTGTCACCTGACATACTGCTCCCCACAAAGAACACAAAGGCTTCAGGACCAACTCAAACTGGTTAAACTGCTGAATGCAGATGGACATCTTGGAAACAACAGCTCTAAAAATTATTTTCTATTTGCAAAAGATATTATGAATAATTGGTTTGCTCACATTCATTGCTTGACCTGCCTTTTCCACAATTAATACTGATACCACATACTTATAACGGTCAAAGTTCAACTCCTTCACAGCCTTTAATATTTCTTCTGAGAGTGAAGCACACAAGGAGGGGCTAGAAACTCCATCATATTTGGCTTGTTGAAGTTTATTCTATCAAAAAGAATTTTGAAAGATCTTAGTTTTTATCCTGGTAATCTTCTGAAAAAAAACCCCAAGCCTTTTATAGTAATTTTCATTACAAGAACTTTAGAAGAACTAAGGAGTAGAATAGTCAATATAGATGATGCTCTCCAACAGCAAAGTTTGAACTATTTTTACTCTGAAATGTTTTAATTATTTTTTTGAAAGTGACAAATACATCCAGACAATCTTCATTTAACAAACAGAAATGTATTCTTCTCCATCACTTGGGCTTAGGTCACAGGAAAATAGTAATACAAATACCTGTTTGGAATATCCAAGGCATGTATTCCAAACAGTAGAATCACAAGAATTATTACTATTCGAGGTACCACTAACAGGTACATATTACCTCAATGAATTTTTCTCCTTCATTTTTGCTTAATTTTTCTATATTTTATGCAGGTCATACGATATTAGTAAAACCAAACAGTAAAACTAATTGAAGGAGTAGAATTCCACAAATTCGAGGATCTTTGGATAACTGGATATTTTGCAGATCAGGATACTGCAAATTGTGCTTTAGTTCAATTTGATATAGGAAAGAATAGGGGTTTAAGAAGCTTCAGCTCCAAGTTTAAGAAGCTTCAGCGGGTGGTAACAGCACAGGTTCAGCGGTGACCTTGGAGGGGACCTTCTGCACTTTTTTGCAAAACAGAGAACATTCACATTACGTTTGTGTGCCAAAACTCAAAGTCTGCAAAGATTTACGCATGTTTTACTTATGCAACTTACACTGTTCCATTAATATAATCTTTGTAAGACAAGCTGCTTTTGCAATAAAATTAGACAATTAATTAAAAAAATACTACACCGTTAGTATTGCTTGAGCTTTGTCTCTCACTAAATAATCCTGAAACTTATTATGCGACTCCAGTCTGTATGTATTAGCATATCTTATCTTCGCCCCAGCACCAAAATGCTCTTCTTCCAATGAAGCTTCAGAATTTGACTGTAACTTTTTTCCTTTTGTCTGTGCAAAATAATAAAAAAGTCCACATCATATGTCAATATTTTAGCATTTATCAGTCTCTAAATAATATCCTATGGTGTATAGTTCAGAGGAAAACACAATCAGTCTAAGCATACGTTACAAAAAAAAAAGCAGAAAAGACAGAAAATAGGTCTATTTTTTTCTGACTGTTTTGACACCTGTTTTGATTGAGAAAAAGATAACAGTACTTAACTTCTGCTCTTTAATTTCTTTTCCACCAAACCCTAAATGAAATGATTCTAGGATGATTTAAACTCAGTCAATCAGATACACCACACTGGCATTCTGAATCCACTCCATTTTTCAAGTAAAAACACACAGATATTAACATGTGTGCCCAAGACTGTAAACCACAACTACAAGCTTTTCATTCAAACAGCCTACATAAACCCCAGAATATACGCTTGGTTCCTTTACTACATAATTTGGCTTGTCCTCATTCTTTATGAGGCTACTAAAGAAATGCCTTAAGGACTTCATTCGCTCATTATTTAAAAAAAAAGAAAGAAAAAAGGAAAAATATGCTTTAATTTGCAAGCTTCGAACTTTGGAAACTTGAAAGCAGAGTAGTACTTTATATTTGACATCAGAACTCTGAAGATCCAAGTTTTCTCCCCATCCAGTTTGTGTACTATCATTCCCTTCAATACACATAACAAAATTTGGCCCTCTGTGAATGCAAGCAGCAAGTCTGACAATGCGCACAAAAGGTGTCACCGGCTGTCATCTATGACTGATATAGAAAAGAACTGTAAAAATGTAAGAAAACAAGACAGAGACTGGAAAACACATGAAACGATGTGTTCATAACAAATGCTACACACAGTGGTCTTCCATACTAGGCAACTCCTAACTAACCACATTCAAGTTCTGCTGACTCTTCAGCTCCTTGCTCCACTTCCTGACTACAGCTAGAACCTAGCTGAGAGGAAATCATCAGTTTCTTCTCAGAAGGGAAGAATAGAGCACAAAGGTGATAAAAAAACACAGCCCAAGGCTCATACTAAGAAGCATAGCAAAAATCTTACCCTTATGGATAATATAAAAGTCAGTGAGAATTATTTGAAAAGATGCACTACAAAGGGGGTCACCAATCTTGCAGTCAGAGGAGTTTGGGAATAAAGGAAACAGTGCAGTTTCCTCTCCATGAAATCATGTTAGTCCTGGCAACACTGTGGACATTGCCTACATCTCTCCTCTGGTTCCTTACTGTTAGATAATGCTACCAAAAACCAGTGATGTTGGCAGCCCTAGTGTAAATCGGCTGCAGGTGTTTGTTGATACCATACCAACAATGCTAACTCTGATTAGTACTTAACTACACTAAAGTACTAGTGGTACTTTACTGCACTAAAAACACAAGGGGCAGACCCATTTGCACTTAGGCCATGGACACTCCTGATCTAACTTAAACTCAGATCTATGAAGACTATAGCTCCTACCCGCTCATCACAGGTCTCTTAACAGAATAAAAAACACTTCAAGTCTGCCAGCTGAGCTGTTGAAATGAGCTTCTCAATCCCTATCAGTGCAGTTGCAGCCAAGAAAGCCCGTTGTGTCCTGGGCTGCATCAAGAGGTGCGTGGCCAGCAGGTCAAGGGAGGTGATTCTCCCCCTCTACTCCACTCTCGTGAGATCCCGCCTGGAGTACTGCGTCCAGTTCTGGAGCCCACAGCACAGGGAAGATATGGACATGCTGGAGCACGATTCAGATTGGACGTTAGGAAGAAGTTCTTCACCATGAGGGTGGTGAGACACTGGCACAGGTTGCCCAGAGAGGTGGTGGAAGCCCCATCCCTGGAAGTTTTTAAGGCCAGGCTGGACAGGGCTCTGAGCAGCCTGATCTAGTGGGAGACGTCCCTGCCCATGGACACTTAGGGTGGGCACACCAGCTGCTAGGCAGTTGCAAATGTGACACTGGATCCCGCAGAAAGGGGACATGCTATCCGAGACAAGTTTTGACCAGGTCACACTTCCATTTAATCACACACTAAGCCCCACACTCTTGTACGCTCCCTTCCTAAGGACCCAAGCCCCACATTCAAGTCCTTCCCTCGCGAACTGAAGGGCTGCCGTCCCAGGCCAGTGCCCCAGCCTCAGGTGAAGGCCACGGCAGAGCGGGAGGCA